ATAAATTAAAATATATATATTAATAATTATATTATTATGATAATATTAATAAATTAAATATATAATAAGTATATACACAAAGAATAAAATATAGAATTAAATACATGAGTAAAAATGATTTACTCACACAAAATGATTACTAACACTGTCTCCTAATAAAATCATAAATTTTTTTTTACTATAATCATATATAGGTAGTTCTACAGCTGCAATAATTGCTGCTCTTTGGGCAGTAGGTCCTACACCCTACATAAAATTTTTATTATAAAATTATATTTATGAATAATATAAATATAAAAAAATATGTATATATGTATTATGTATATATATATATATATATATATGTTTCTAAAATTTATAAATAATTAACTTACTTTCCATAAACCACAAACACCTTCATGTTGATATACATCTTGAAAGCAACCAAATAATGATAAATTTGAATTGATTCCAGTTACTTGCATACGTACTTTTACTACATCAGTAGGATTAGCTATAGCACTTGAAATAGCACCAGCTAAAGCAGCACAAATAATATTTATAATAACTAAATCATCTGTTTCCCATTTATCCATTGCTGCTTTTTTTAAAGAGTAATATGTACCAAACTTTATAGTTCCATAAGTAGCTTGTCTTAAAATAGCTGAACTGATTCTATATATAAATAAAATAATTTTATTTAACTCAATATAATATTAATAACATTAAAGTAATTTATTTTAATAATAAAATAACATTATATTTTGTCTATATAAATTACATTTACCCAGAATATAGAGCTTTGAAGCCTTCTTGTTGTGATATCTGAAATAAAGCATCAGTCATACCAGAATATTTTAAATGTGCATATCTTTGATCTAATTTTTGTCCTTGAATTTGAAGACGTGTTTTTGTTGTATCTAAAGGAAAAGTACCTGTTCACAAATATATTTATAGAAATAATAAATAAATAGATTATTGATTTATAAATAAACTTTTACAAATTAATTGTAATTATATTACATACCTAATTCTGCAAAAATTGAAGCTAAACCTCCGTAAATAAAAGGTTTCCAATCATTCCACTGAGTTTCTCCCATTACAACTTTATGGTTTGGTACTTTATAATTAATAAATGTAAATATAAATATTTTTAATTTTTTATTTTTTTTAAATATTTAATATAAATTTAATATAATTTATAATGATATTTTATTGTCCACATAGCAATAATATAATTTATAAAATATATTATAAAGTAATTAAGAAACTAAAGAGCTAGGTTATGTTTCGATTAGAAAATAGAGAGCTACATTCAGAATTCTAAAATAATATTATATCAAAATATTTAAAAAAATATAATAATATAAATATGCAAAACGTAATATATATATATATATATATACATGCATATATTTTTATGATATATAAAATTTTTTACTAAAATTAATGTCTTCATTAATAAAAATCACTATACCTGTAACCGTAAATATCTGTAAGTATATTATCTATAAACTTTAAGTATAAGTAATGATCAATAACAAATAGTAATTTCTTATATTATCGTTTTTATTTTATTTGAAAATCTATTTTTATTAAATTCAAGAGACAGATTGATTTAAGCATTATTTCTTAAAAATATTAAAAAAAAATTGTAAATTAAAATTAAAAATTGCGACCAATCATTGTGAATTTACTGCAAATATATAGTATAAATTCTGAAAGTTCCTATATAAAATTTTCCTAGTTATATGAATAAATGAATTTTATTTTCAATTAGGTTTAAATATATATGATTTATGAATTATTTCTATTATAAATATATATTATATAATAATGTGTTTTACAATTTTATTTAAATTTAATTTTTCTTATTGTATTAACAAAATTTTATTTAAAAAAATTAATACATAATAAAATACAATTAAAATATATAAAAAATTCAATGTAATAAAAATTTTTAGATAAAATTTTTTAGTCAATAAAAAGTAGTCAAGAAATAGTATATTATATCATTCACATATGTAAACTATCTCAATCTATTCGAACTGGGACTCTTGTATGTATTGCTGTACTACTTTGATAAATATATACCTGTGTTAAAATTGCAATATCAATTATAACTTGAAGAGTGCTACAAACTTCAAATTGAATTGGAGCTTCTCTTATAATAAAATAACAAGTTTTAAATGCATCACCTAATGTCCACATAGCAACCATAAAAATACTGTAATATAAAAAAGTAATTTAAAAATTTAAATATTATTCAAATAACTATTTATTATTAATTTTTTATAATTAATTCTTGTTATTACCTCATTCCATTAGTAGATTTATTAAAAAAATTACGTAAAAATTGTGGTATTCCAAGCATAGCTTCTGTTAATACTGCAAATAATCCAATAGTTTCAACAAATATTGGTATATCTATTAACAAATATGTTAATATTCCTATTAATGCTGCAAACAATAGCATAAAATCTAAATAGGATTGAAAATCTGTCCATTTCCAAAAAAAATTTGCATCAAAATCTAAACAAATTAAATATAAGTTATAAATTTTGAATGTACATTATATATATTACATATAATATATATATATTATTTTCATTTATTTTGTCATATTTACATTTACCTGAAAATACACGTTCTCTAACTTTTATTACTTGATTTCTACTTTGTACACTTATACATAGTTTAATCATTATAAACATAGTAACAATCATAAATATACTTTGTAATAAAAGAGGTATTTCATAATGTTTCCCAAACCTGTAAAAAAAATATATAATACATTATTTAATATGACAAAAATATATCAGATATATAAAATAAATATACAAACCAAAAGAAAATACGTAATGTATTAGCAATTAAAAGTGTAAGGCATACATAAAGAGAAAATCCTTCTGCACTATCTCTTTTTTTAATTTCTTTGTATTGTGGTACATATGGAATAATACCACCAAATATCATTGCTCCAGAAGCAACCCAATTTCCTAAGTCTTTAATAGTTAATTGCTCATAAACATTATACATCGTAATATTTTTGTTCTATTTTCATATTTTATTATCTTTATTATAATGCTTTGCACTATATGCTTAATTCTAGGTTATGGCTCCAATTTTTTTAAATATCATATTGACAATGAATCATTAAAATCAAATAAACCTGATAGTAAAAAAAAAATGATAAATTGTGCAAATACATATTATCTAAAAAGCGATAATATATACCTATACATACCTTATAACAACTGATTTTTATTTAACATATAGTTTTATTACAATTAAATATATTATTAAATCTATATATATATATATGCATAAAAAATTTCTTATTATAATTGTGAACATTGATAAACTAAAGAATTGATACAAAGTTTAGTTACCGACGATAGGTAACGTAAATTGTGATACATTCAAGAATTTAAATATTCAACTATAAATATAACTACAAATGAAGTATAGAATAGTATCGATAAATATACGACAAAGTGAAGAATGATTATATTGTTGCTTAGTAACCCATAATAACAACTTTAAATTTATATATACGTGTACATTACAGTGTTTTTCATGTCATTATACATTTCATAAAATATAAATTTGTTGTCTTCGTATTAATCATTTAAAATTTTTGTAATATCTTTTAATTAATACATTAAGTATAAGATAAGAAAAATTCATAGGCAAGCAAACTTGTTATAATTTTCAAGAAATGACAAGATGTAATAAGAGTGAAGTTAATCTTAAAAGCACTGGTAAAAATATATTTTTTTATTGTTCTATATCTTTTAATTTGATTGAAATATCGTCATTTTAAATAATTCAACAGATATATATTTTGCAAAATTATCTTTGTAACCCGTAAATTTATATTGAATAGTGTACAATCAAAATGGACAAAGTTATTTTGAGCAATTAACAGCGTACAATTCTATGAGCGCGCATTTGCGACGCATTTTACTAGCAAAATGTGTTGTAGATGCCAGAAACAAAACCTATATGCGTAAAAAAAAGCAAGCATGTAAACAAATTGGCTGGAAACCAAAATGTGCAAAAACAGATATTACAAATAATATAATTGATAAGTTGGCATACGATACTTCATATCATCCAGCGGTAAAAATTATTTATAAATATTATAATAATAATTATACATAAAATATTATAATATATATATGCAAGAAAAAATAATAAATTCGAATTATTTCATTCATTAATCAATAGGATTTTTTAAGAATGAATAATGGTTCAAAGTATTTTTGCCAGTGTCAAGCACAGAAATATTTTACTACTTGTTATGATTGTAATGCAATCTGTTCAAAACCAAAATTACGTAATCACCTAGCTTATATTAATTCTCCAATATATAAAATAAATACTTCAGAGCCATTTATATCGAATAGTAGCAATATAAGAAAACAATGCACAGAATCAAATACTAATTATAGAAAAATATTTAATCCTATAAATACGAAAAACGCATTGAAATTTCATAATGATAGGTAAGATCAAATGTAATAAAAAAATTTACTTTGTTATTTAAATTCATTTTAATTATAAATATTTATTTTATTTATCATTATATTAATCATTTATTTACTTAATTATTTATATTAATACAAATGTACATAGATATGAAGAAAATTCAATGCTATGTGAATCTTGTGGTTTTTTATCACAAAACGTCAATGATGATCTTTCATCAGAAATTAGCACATCAAGAAGTGATGAAAATGCTGATCAATTTTATGATAATTTAATAGATAATCCAAAAATCGATGAAAAAGATGAAGAAGAAACATATGCTAAACTTATGTATGAAATTACACATGAAATAATAGTAAATGGTTTATATACTGATGATGAATTAAACAAGATATTCAAGAAATATATTGAAAAAAACAAGAAAGTTTTAGATATGGTTAGGATTATGTTATTTATTATTTAAATTTATAAAATAATATTAAATATAATAATGTATATATAAATATAAAATAATATAATATATTTTTAAATAGAATCGAATGTTGTATGAAATTTATCAATTGAAACTTGCTTTGAATATATCGGATAATTCAGAAGAAGAAGATATAAATAATGTTGCATATCAGCAATTATTAAATATTAGCAAAGTTCGACCACCAACACCACCGAAAGTTTTAAATGAAGATAGAGTAACTGAAAAATTAATGTGGTATCAAAAATTGGATAAAGTTAAAAATAATTCAATAGGCAAAAAATCAGTTTTATTAGTTGATGCTAATCCTGAATTACGTGTAACTGAAAGAGATGTTTTAACATCATTAATAGAAGCTGATATCGATCCTGAACAAGCTCGAAAAATTTATAAAAAACTTTCCTTCAAAAGCAAAGATAATTTATTGGTTTGTTCAATATAAACTACAGTAATATGTAATTTACAAAATTTCATTATCAATATGAATATTTTTTCTAGATTGACACGAAAAGCATACAAGATTCAAATGAAAATGAAATAGAAAAAAGCAATCAATTTAATTCCAATTTAATAGAATCATATAAGGTATGCAAAGTGAACAGAAAAAAATTTCTATAACCAATCTTAGATAATTGTAAAATATTCTATTATTATGAATATAAATATTTTTTAGTTTGGAACGAAAATCGAAAAAGATGAAAATCAATTCAAAAATGAAAATTCAAATAATAAATATAGAATAGAAGAAAACGAACAATTTAATTCCAACTTCACAGAATATGAGGTAAACGAAGTAAATAAAAAATATAAACAATGATCTTATAGAATGTAACATTCTATTTTTATGAATATAAATATTTTTCAGATTAAAACGAAAATTGAAAAAGATGAAAATCAATTCAAAAATGAAAATTCAAATGAATGTAGAATAGAAGAAAACAATTGTAATTCTAATTTAACAGGGCATGAGGTATGCAAAATAAATGAACATAAAAAATTTCTATGATTTGATGATCTTTTAAAATATGATATTCTATTTTATGAATATAAATATTTTTTAGATTGAAACGAAAATTAAAAAAGATGAAAATCAATTTAAAGATAAAAATTTAAAAAAAAAATATAGAGTGAAAGAAGATGAACAACTTAATTCCAATTTAAAAGAATCACATGATGTACAAATAAATGAACAAGAAAAAGCTTCTATGACTGATGATCTTATAATATTAAAGAATAAAAAAGTACAAATATAAAAGAATAGATATATAATGCTGAATTAAGGAAATAAGTAACAATTTCTAAAATATATTTATATAAATTTAAATATTCATGTTGATTTTTCTATAAAGATATTATATTTTGACAAAAAAAAAATTTAAATATAGTTATTTTTTCTTTTATTATTAAAAATAAGTATTACATAAATATTTTCACTTGATTCTTTTATATTATTGTTTCTATTTATCTTATTCAAACAAAATAAAATATATTATGAAAAAGTATATTTTACAGATGTACATATATAATTACAATATATATATGTAATTAGAT